TAAATTGCCTTATGTGTGGAGCAAAGAGCTCACACCAACCATGGCTGCAATCCTGGGAGTGCAGATCAGGCCAGCGACCAGGGGGAAATGGCCTCACGGTGCCTCTGCAAGGGGGCAGGAACCCTCCTACTGTCTCTGGTTAAAAAAAAATAGGATAGCAGAGAAATCTGCTTTTTAGAAGCAGGCACCAGGGACCGCTTTGGCAGGACACATTCATGCTGCTGTTCCCCACAGGTCGTGGTGCAGCAGCAGATGTGGGCAATGAAATGGTCCTATCTCAACAGCAGAGAGGTCCCTGGGGGACAGGGCAAGTTCCTCACACAGGCTGTGTAAACAGGGAAGCCTGGGGAAGGTTGGAAGGGTGGCTACTGCTTCCATGGCAAAGGCAGCCCAGGCCAGGGCTCCTCTCTTTGTCCAGGGCTGTGGGTCATACTGTGCAGTCCATGCAGGCAAGGCAGAAATCAAAAACGATCTGCTCTCTCTGGGTCTCCCCTGGCCTGGCAGATTTGTTTTGCCACACTCAGCTCTTTTCTTTTTAACATTGCTTCCCCTCCCCTTGGAAGTTTTCAGTCCTGACCAGCAGATTCAATGTCACCTCTTCAAATGTCACCTGTGATCCCCTCCTTCACCCAGCTTGCCCTTCCCCAGATAATTTCTACACACTTCAAAAAACCCCAAACAAACAAAAAAAGCCACACAAAATCCCCCCAAAACCACAACAAATCACCATTGTCACTGCATCCTTCCCTCCTAATCTTGAGCATCTGCCCTGGTGGGGCTGCCTCACGACAAAGCCCAGCACAGGCCACATCAGGGACCTGTGGCTGGGGCAGGGGGGGAAACTGCAGGGTGGGCAGGTGCCATGGTGCTGTGGGGGTCTTGGCCTGAGGACCCACAGTGTGACACCTCACTGGGGCCCTGGAGAAGCCCGAACCACAGTGGGGGGGACTCCTAAAACCTGTGGGTTCTTCCCAGCACCAACTTCCCAGCGAGGACACTCAGGGCTGGGCTACCAAACAGGATGGAAGCAAGAGCTGTTTAGAAAATACTTTAAAATATCCATCTTTATGCACTTAAACATATATATAGATATAAATAAATATTGGTATGCATACTTATATATGCTTATGGATGTGGACACGTGTATGTGGCTCCATAAGTGTCACACGGGCACTGGGGGGGATTGGGCCCACAGGGTCGATGAGCTCTGCAAGGGCTGGATGGGAGCTGGGGAGGGGACCAGGAAAACCCCAAACTACCCCAGGAAGGAGAGATCCTGCTCCATGACACGGACTTCACAACCCAACCCCCCCCCCAAATGCAAAATTAAGAATAAAATTGAAAACTGGGGGGGTTCCATAGGCATAGGACCATTTCTTTCTCTTGCCAGCGCACAGAACTAGTTTGGGTGCCACGAATACAAGACGAAAATACACCTAATTCCGTCAGCATATAGATATAATATATTTCACTCTCACCACATAAATACAAAACATCCAAATATCCAAAACATTCAGAACAAAAGTTAGTAGCAAGGGCTCAGCGCTCAAGTCATCCATTATTCTTTTCTTTTTCCGACTAGTTGCCTAGAAACTTCAGACGTAAATAATTTACAATAAAATTACTATTTTCTTTCTGTCCAGCTCCTTCTGTCCAGTTCTGGTCTAGAATTAATTCTATAAACTACAGCAACCATTCCACTTTTTTTTGTAATTGTGTTTTTTTTTTCTTTTCTTTTTTTTTTTGGTTACAGTTTGGTGGCAAGTTATTTATACAGTTTGTAAACGCCATGTGTTAAAGTTTAAAGAAAGGAAAGAAACTTCAAACCAAAGTTAAAGGAATCGTGTTGTTTGTTGGTTTGTTGTTGTGATTATTATTTTTTTTTCCCCCGAAGAACTAGTTAAGTACAACGTCCCTTTTCTGGCCAATTCAAGTACTGAAATTGAACAAGAAATATAGAATCCGGAATACTGGGGGGTGAAATGCATCCGTTGGTGGAGAAAATAGCAGTAAGAATTGATGGAGGAAAAAAAAAAAATTAAAAAAAAAAAAAAGGTTGTTACACAGGTGTCTTTTAAAGTACAAAAATAACAATAAAAATCCGCTTTTTATGTCTTTATATTCGTCTTAAACGAATTGTGAGCGATATGCTAGAGGGTTCTTTTAGGAGGAAGGAAGGCTAAAGGTTTCTTTGTTTATTTAGATGGGCATTGAAATTATTTGGAAAAAAATCAAGTAGGAAAAAAAAAATGTAAAAAAGGGGGGGAGGGGGAAGGGAATCGCCATCGCAACAGATCTGGGTGCAAATCGAGTCGCGACTCCCGTGATTTATCTGTGGTTTAGATTTTGCGGGTGGGGTCCGCAGGACTGGCCCGTGGAAATGTAAAAAAAGGGGGGAGGGAAAAAAAAAAAAAAAAAGAAGAAGAAAAAAAGAAAGAAAGAAAAAAAAAACAACGAAGAAGAAAAAAAAGAGGCGTTGTGTTATCTCGAAGGAAGAGACAGTTTAATTAAAAATCTCCCCAGCCACTGGTGTCTGTCCCCGCGTGTTTTCCAGGCAGTCCGGTCCGGCCCTTCCCGCGTTCAAGATTTCTCGCGGAACAACAAAACAAAACAAAAAGCCAAGTTGCTGGACGTTTCCCTGGCTGGTTTTAGGGGCGAACGGCAAGGACGTGCCGGGGGGTGCAGTGCAGTGCAGTGGCTGGGGGCGGGTGAAACGGGGGCGGCAGGAGCAGCCCCCGAACTTTTGTGCTTTAGGAGTCACTGAAGTGTCAAAGCAAAACGAACAGACAGACAAACAACCCATCCCCCGAACGGACGACAGACGGACCGACGGGACGGGGAGAACCGCGGGGGCCTCCCTTTGCTGCCTCCGGGCTCCGGGGAAGCTCCCGCAGCCCC